TTCTCACCTACATCGTCCACATGGGACGACTCGGGAACTCAACTCCTACCCCGGGCAGCTCACCTATCCCCTTATGCCCAGGGGAAGGGTATCAAGCCGTTTGACAGCTGATGCTGGCTGTCAAAACGGCTTTTACGCTAAAACAGGCGGGAGGCAGCAAACAGCTGCGTCCGACGAGGTCGCCTGCCACCGGAAGTCCACCCATGGTTTAATCTGTTGTGTCAATCCAATTAACTGGTTCCTTCAACCATATTAAAATTAACCTTGACTTAGAATGACCCACGAAGAATATGTGCATTTACATGTAATTCTCAAATGCTTGGAAGAGAGTTCTAATTCCCACCAGATCCAATTCGTATTTGTTCATTTATTAAATTTGCTTGCCACTCATCTCACCACAAGGTGACTCTGGGCAGCTTATAATTCTTTTATAAAAGAATAAAATATACAAATAATAAGAATAAAATACTATAAATATACCAATTATCAGCTATAATTAAAAGATGGGGAGGGAAGGAGTAGAATGGGGGGAGGGGGATCTGTTGTTGAATCTATCAACCACATGCAACATGAACCTCCCCCACTGGAACCCCAGGCCAGCTGGTAGAGCCAGGTCTTCAAGCTCTTGTGGAAGGTCAGAAGGTAGGAGCTCACTTCACTCCTGGGGCAAGATATTCCAAAGGGCAGGAGTGACAGCAGAGAAGGTTCTTCTTGATCCTGCCAGCTGGAGTTCCCTGGCTGGTGGGGCCTGCAGCATTTCTCCTCTGTCTGCACAGGTGGGGTGGGCCAATCCCATTGGGATAAGATGTTCCTCAAGTAACCTGGATCCATGCCATGAAGGGCTTTAAAGGTGATAACCAACACTTTGAATTGCACCTGCAAGCAAACTAGTAGCCAATGCAACTTACAGAATAGCGGTGGGGCCCCCAAAGGCTGCCCACGCTGCCTCACTCTGCACCAGCTGTAGCTTCCAAATGCTCTTAAAGGGAAACCCCATGTAGAGCATTTTGCAATAGTCCAAATACAAGAATGACTGAGTGCAGGGACTCCTGATCCAGGAAAAGTCACAACCTGAAGTTGTGCAAAGGCTCTCCTAGCCACAACTGCCACCTGCTATTTGAATAGGAAGTGAGTCCAGGTGAACCACCAAATTGCAAACCAGATCTGTCTGGAGTAGTGTCACCTCATCCAGAACTAGGGATTCAAAGTCCTGGATCTTGGGGGTCCATATACTCAAAGCCATTTGGTCTTGCCAGGGTTCAGCCAAATCCTGTTGTCCCCCATCCAGGCCCTAATAGCCTCCAGACATTGTGAGAGAACAGCAACTTGGGTTACCAGGGGTGAACATAAAGAGTTAAATATAATCAATTTAGACATTATTGTTATCGTCATTGCCTAGATATGATACCACTCTCTTCTTTTGCAGACAGTGATTGTGGGTTCCTACCTCATTGCACATGGATTTTTCAGTGTATATGCCATGTGCGTGGACACACTTTTCCTTTGCTTTTGTAAGTATCTTGTTTAAACTGTTAAATGGTGCTAGCCACTGCTGCTATATTATGCTTTATCCAAAAGTAAACAGTTCTTTATTGACTCCAAAGCTGCTCCCTACTTACTCTAACATTAAGCCTGGAATTCATTCCTGATGGGCTCCAGGTTGACTCAGCCTTCCATAGCAGTAGTAGCATAACATTTAGAATTTATACCACTTCATAGTACTTTACAGCCCTCTCTAAGTGGTTTACAGAGTCAGCATATTGCCCCTAAAAATCTAGGTCCTTATCTTACTGACCTCAGAAGATAGAAGGCTGAGTCAATCTTGAGCCAGTCAGAATTGAACTCCTGGCAGTCGGCAAAATTAGCCTGCAATACTGCATTCTAACTGTGCCACCATGCCATCCTTCAGAGGTCTGTAAAATGAGGACCCAGATTGTTGGGGGCAATATGCAAATAATGCTTTTTACCTTGTAAATCGTGCAAAGAGTGCTATAAAGCACTATGGGGCAGTATTATAAGCCTAAATGCTAATGCTACTGCATTAAATTAGGAGATTCTTTGAGATACATTGCAAAGGCCTTCTCCTATATCAGCAGTTCTCAACCTGTGGGTCGCGACCCCATTTGGGGTCGAACGACCATTTCATGGGGGTCGCCAAACGCAGTCCGCCATTTTTTTTTACCCTTTTCCTTTCCCTCTTATTGGCTTTCGAAAGTGCCACAGGTGGCACGCAGAGCCGTTCCTGCCTCCCTCCTCTTTGCGCATGCGCAGCTTTTTCCTACATAAAAGGAAGTTTCGGTTTCGGTCCACGTGGTAGAAGCGAGACAGAGGACAAGCGGCAGAAAGCGAGAGAGAAGAAGTAAAAGCGGTAAGTTTTGTCTCTGTCCTGCCGCTGAGCTTCCTCTGCTTGGCCACCAGACACCCCAGCGGCCCCAGAACACCCTGCCCGCATTTCCTTCCATTTTGTTTAGCCGGCCCAGCGGCTAAAAAACACCCCGCAGCAGCCAGCACTTCTTGTAATTTTGCAGCCGGCCTCCCCCTTCACCAGTCTCTCCGGCCGCCTCTTCTCCGTTCCTTCTGCCCTGACCTTCACTTTTTCCCTTGTGCTCAGATGCCCTCTTGCAAGAAAACTAGCAAAGTTGCCAGAGAACCAAAATTAGATAGAAGTATTCGTCACGCGAGCGCACAGAGCGAGCCAGAGACGAAGCTTTGCGCGTCAATGAAATATTAGTAAGTCCTCCAGCCTAAGCGGAGGGAAGGAAAAGCCCAGAACATGGTGATAGGGTGGCAAGTGAGCCTCCAAAAAGGACTTTCCAAGCTTGCTGAAACTATCCCAGGGAAGGAAACTGAAGGCGCGCGCAAATCCCGGGCTTTGTTTCCCTCCCTGTGGAGCAGCCAGCTCCCTGCTACCTTCCATCCACGCCTGAAGCCTTTGCTGCTTCGGGTAGCTGCTACAGACCCCCTGCCCCTGCGACTTCAGGGACTGAAAGGAAGACGGAGGGAGGGAAAGAAACCAAGAAACTTACTTGCCAAGCCGGCGCAGCCGCTGGCTCAGCCCCGGCAGCCAGTCAGAGCGCGCGCACGCGTGCGCAACGGCCCTCTCCCAGTGAATGGGATTAGCCGAGCGTGCATCCCAGCCTCTGGAGCTGCCGAGCAACATTCAGGCATGCTCAGTCGGCTGACCTTCCCCGTGTAGAAAGTACCATTGAGTGGAGGGAGGGAAAAAGGGGACGGGCGGGGGCAAGAAGGAAAGAAATGGATGCTACCATCAAGAGGTGAGCTAAAAATAGACGCGGAGGGAGGAAGGGGGGGAATTGCTGGAAGTTAAATTGAGGAAGGGGGGGGAATTGCTGGAAGGGAGGAAGGGGGGGGGAATTGCTGGAAGGCTCTCTCCTGATTGTGGACTAATGCAACAGAAGAACACGATGATCTCCCCACTATAAACTGAGCACATCTAGATTGGTGGTAAGGAATGGTCATTAAGGAAAGAA